AAAAATCACAAAGATATTTAGTTGTAAGTGGAATAGGCCTACCCTAAAATTAAGGAACGCTCAAAATCGACACGTGGTATCCCAATGGGTGTTATCGCCTCTTGATACCACTAAGTTTCCTTGATACCTTGATCGCCCCCCCCCCCCTGAGGTTACAAAAAAAAAGTTGCAATTGCTCGAGCTCTCTCGAAGGAAGACCCACGTGTCACCTACAGCCAATTTCAACCTACTCTGAGGGTCTCATCAAGAGCAATAAGTTCCATCTGGCACGATTATCTGAACGTCAAAATACCAAATCACATAATTTTAGGGCTTTACAGATGAATTTTCTCAAGGTCAAACGTGTCAAGGTCACTGCACATAAAATTAAACTGACAGTAAACTATTCACGTCAGACTCCTGCAACTTAGCATACACGCATCCAAAAGCACTGTTTACCTACAGTACAAAAATAACAGGAAATGGATGAGGAAATCACGTTAAATGCAAAGATTTATTGAGTGCTCCTCATACAGCAGCTTTATATTACTGTAGACTGTTTGACAACATTTGGTGAACCGCTATTAACAGGAAGTCAGTATCAGGGCCGCCCGGAGGTTTCCAAGGGCCCGGGGCAAAACTAAACCGGAGGCCCCCTGGGAGCCCTTTTGGGACCCCTTGATACGCAAAAAAACTGATAAAAAGCTAGTACCATATACTTTGTGGAATTTAAATATGTGGTGGTATGCTACATATGCACCCTGGAGGCAAGTGGAACGCAGAGGTCGAAAGTTTGGGAATCGCTGGACTCGGCAGTAGGTAAAAATAAAAATAAAAAATCTGAAAGAGGGGTTTGCCTATCTTACAATTATCAGAACCCTTGATCTCGACGCGGGACGTCATAAAGGGGTGGGGTGTGCTACGTCAACTGACATCCCGATGAAACCTTGAACCATGAACCCATCCTGTTCCTGTCTTTAGTGGCAGCACTGCGTCCAACATGGAAGTTTTCAACGACTACTGACGTGTGTCGTGCGCCATGACCACGTCGTTCGCTCAGCTGCGAACTGAACTCTCAACTGGTAAATAACTCTGGTAAATTACTCACCTGGTCTGGTGGCAGTGTCTGTCTATCTTATTCTTCTCCAGCTTCCCCATTTCCCTACTTTATTGTAATTAATTTTGGAGGCATGCAAGCAAAAGTGAACTAATGGCCCCGGGAAGGGTTCGGAAGTGGGACCCGAAAATGATAGAGGTATGAGGACTTTCATGCAAGACACGCTCTGAAGTGTTTAGACCGTTCGCTCGAGAGAAGGTTAACAAGAGGGTACCTTCTCCAGGCATTTAAGATAGTCGAAGGACTCACTAACGAATAATATTGATGTTTTTTCGTGTTCAATGGTAGCAGCAGAACGAATAACTAAGAGCCGTTTCAAGTCACTCAAACCTCAGCTGAGACTCGTTGCAGAACAACTTTTTTACTTGCAGGGCATTGAGTATGTGGGACGTCTGAGGAAATATTGTATTGGCTGCAGCTTCTGCAACTAACGTTGAGAAGAGGTTAGATTCATTCATGGAGCAATAAGGGAATAATGAGTAATAAGGCAGTATGTTCTGGCCAAACTGGCATTCTGAAGTTAAAGAGGATGACTAAAATTAGGCCTTAAAGTAATGAAAGCTGTTGCATATTCCAGGGTGATGGCTTTCATCATGTTATGTGTCATGCACATTGTTTTCAGCAACACTGGTGGACAAAAGTAAGGTAACAATCATAAAAACTAGAATAACATCTTTATTCTGCGAGGTGTATCAATGAAAATTTATACAAAGATGCAGTTTATCATTACCGAAAAGTGTATAAAAAAGGAGAAACTTTGGACAAAGTCATGATAATTACATCATGGAATGAAAAATTACGTGTTCCAACAGACATGCTTAGAAGAAGACAATAGCCACTGTCCTTTTGTAGGCTTCACTAATTTGCATGTTGCAATGCACGTAGATCAATCTTGATTGGATATTCGGAATTTGCCTGTAAACATATGTAGTAACGTATTTTCACATTCTAACTTACTATTTTAATTAAAATATTGATGAAAAACGGTGTTACCTTAATTTTGTCCACCAGTGTATTTCAATTAACCCTAGTACTGTGGGCCCTGGAATATTCCAGGTGCAAGATTGACTTCATAGAATGTGGGTCCCAATCAATGCAGCAGGAGTAGGGTTAAGATGCAGGATTTCATGAAAGTCATGCAGTCAGGACAGAGGGCTTGCTTGAAGCTCAAGCAATGTGCAGGGAATAGAGCCCTTAATGTGATTTCAAAGTTTAATTTCAAAGTAGGTGTCCCCACATCAAGAAAGAATTTTCCCACTTCCCAATTTGACATCTTAAATTAGCTGAACTCCATATCACCTATCCCATCTTGACATGATGTAAGAATTTTTAAATGACCATGGTATCCTTCAACACTGAAGAGCTATTTAGTTTTGTGCCAATAGGCTAAAAAGATTGACTAATATCTTCCTACAAGGCAAAGGAAACACCATCCTGTACCATGAAAAATGTATATATTTGAAGTCAGTAATGTCACTTTATTCCATGTTAAAAGCAATGGTTCTTGGATCTATATGCACTCTTCTGCTATGGTGATGGTCATACTGATTCAGGAAACCCACAATAGTCTCACACATCTCTTGTTATTTGCCCTGATCTTGATGACAAGCCGCATGCTGACCATTCCTAACATCTTCCTTGGTGGTTCTATAAACCCAAAACACCCCACCCCCCCAATCCTTACCTATGTCGACTTCCCATGTTCTCACACAAACCTCATGCTAATACCCATTCGTTGTATTCATCCATGCAATGCATGCACCCCATCATTGTCTCCATAAATTACCATAGTATCCACTCAAAAAATCCTTCTTCCACCCTTACTAGTGACCCCAAGTCAACCATGTCAGCATTTTGCCTTCAGCAACAAGTATTTTTCATTCTAAGCCAAAACTGAATTTAAAACCAAGGAAAACTTTGAGTGATCATTGATCTTAGCCAAAATCATGTTTGCCAGATTTTTATCTCTACTGAGTAGCGAAGGGGGTGGGATGGTGCTGTTCTTGGCATCCTTTTCAAGGTCATATCAGACTGTGTAAAATTAAGAAAAACCTGCCTGGGCTTTTCTTATTAGCATGATCATTACCACATCCTTAGCCTTTTCAAGTTTAGGCTACCATATGTGACTTAGGTCGGATAAAAACAGGCATGAACAAATTTCTCATTCAAATACTTGTTAGGCCATGTAGTTTGCTTGTATGCCCCTAGATGGTAGCTGTATGAACTTTTCCTTGTTCTCGAATGCATGTTGGTCAGTCACATTTGCTGTCTTTTATCATTGTTTAGACCATAAGAAAAATTGCAAAGCAAGGGGCTCCTGATCACATGTAGGATGGTGGTAGCAAATGTGAAAGTCATACTTTTCTTATTTTTCTTAGAAAAGGGAAAGGTTTATAGCTGGGGTCGGAAACCTATGGCTCACAAGCCAAAACGTTTGGCTCATTGAGCCATGGCTAAATATCATGGTTGTTTCTCATTTTTCCAATATATTGAGAGATGCGCATTTCTGTTGGTCACTTCAGAAAAAATTTGGTTGTTTTAAAAATATTTTGCTTACAGGCACCTACCTCAATCTTAATTTGACTCACATGGCCGAAAAGTTTCCCGACCCCTGGTTTATAGGAAAGAGTCTAGCACTAATAAGTTGCAAGTTGAATGGCCATGGTTGACCATACATGTAGGGGAGTCCCATTGCTCCATTTATGGGATTGAACATTTTAAGACCTTTTTTTTTTCTGAACTGGAGTAATTTTCATAGTTTTCCAACTGGCTTAAGCTGCCATAAGGCATCAATGCTTCACTATCACCATTGGTGGTTTTTAAGTCATCACAATACATTGGCATGCATTTGATATGTAGAGCTTTTATATATGGTATTAAAATCCCTTCTGTGATGGAAACTTTTAGTTCCAATTATAATTACCCTGTAATATGTGAATGTCTGGAACTGCCACTCTGCTTTTCTCACATATCTTTCTTTCAAGTACAAAGTGTTTCAAGAGGGCATGTACCCAATATGTGTCATACTTTATTACCTTGATTGCAATCCATGAAAGTGATTGATTGTGATCCACTTCAAATGACAAGTGGTGTATATAATGATGAATTTATTTACCTGTATGCCATAGTATAATGTCTGTAACTATGGTAAACATGAATTGAGTATTAGGTTCTCTAGCTTTTATTGTGAACAGGGAATGTGTTCCATCCTGATAATTTGAATTTTGACTACTTTTGATGTTAGCTTCTAGGCTATTACCTATTATAATTACCTATAGGAAAGTACAGTTTATGCAACCTAAACCTAATTTAATTTCGTTTTTCCAATCCAAATGAGGCTTGGTGGGGTCACTATTGAGGAGTTATAAGTGCTTGTAATACTCTGCTGTTACTTTGCTTTCAAAAAGTCAAGTTACAAGTACTGAGTAATAATTTTTTTTGCTGGTGATGAAACCTTGTAATGATGACATGTTGCATAATAAAATACTTATTGCATTTTCAATACTTTAAATTTTTTAGTGGTGAAATTCGAAATTCGAATGAGTTGCTATTATTGCACCAATCAGAAATCAATGCATGTTAAAGACAGTAATTCCCTTTCTTCATTTAAAATTTTGCTAGCTCTGCAGTCAACATATGAGAATATGTGTAATGAAAATTATAACTATTTGATTACTTCCTGAAGAAATAACTCCTCATGCAATTAGTTACATTTGTGACAATTACTGGTATGTCTAATCGCATATACAAGGTAAATTTACTAGCCCACCGTTGCTCAATGGGATGGTAAGTACAGTCATCCATGATAACTTTTCACTAAAATTTGTTGGATCAGTGAATGTTAGGTTTAACAGGGAAGGTAATGTTAGCTTTAGTTTGGGTTTGCCTAACATCATACATGTATATCTTCTGCAGGTGGGATTGGGAAAGACCCACAACCCAGATTTGAAAAGTGCCAAAAATTTTCACCTGTTCTATATAGATAGCTGGATTCCAGTGACCTTTCTACAAAGTTAATTTGGTTTTTTTATGAGAATGTTTCCCCTGTCACGCTTCGCAAGAACTGCCTTGCAGTCATCATTTATTGCTGAACGACTTGTTCCACCCTCATCCTCCATCTGCAATCAATATCTGCAATACTCTACTGAGCCACATGAACTTCCTGATTACCTCCATGGCATTGATGAAGCAGAGAATCCTAGCTTTTTCCATATGGTGGAGTACTTCTTTCATAATGGTTGGAGAGTTGTAGAAGACAAGCTTGTGGAAGAGATGAGTCCCAAAACTCCTGCTGCTGAGAGGAGAGAGAAAGTAAGAGGGATTCTTGGCATCATCCAGCCTTGTCATCATGTCTTGGAGATGTGTTTTCCTGTCAAGAGGGACAGTGGACAATATGAAATGATCACTGGATATCGAGCACAACATAGTCAACATCGAACCCCTTGCAAGGGAGGTAAGCATTTTTCAACTACAACTTGAGTGAATGGGTGAAAGCCCATTTCCTAGACATTTTCCCCATTGGTCAATGCAACTCATGTTTGCAGGTATACGATATTCGATGGCTGTGAGCACAGATGAGGTGAAGGCTCTGGCTTCCCTGATGACATACAAATGTGCTGTTGTGGATGTGCCATTTGGAGGTGCCAAAGCAGGCCTCAAAATTGATCCCAAGTTATTTTCTGAAGGAGAGCTTGAGCGAATCACCAGGCGGTTTACCATGGAATTGTCTAAGAAGGGCTTCATTGGTTTGTTGGAACTTTTATAGTAATCATGAAGTAGCTCTTCTGCTTTTTATTCTTTAATTCTTGCAACTCTTTTAGTAAAGGCATCAAAATGAACCCCTCCCCCCCCCTCCCTTTTTTAAATATTTATTTAAGTACTTCATGTCCATTCGTGCAGTAATCAGAGTTGGTATTGATATGTCCTTTCTTTTCTTGTGTGGTAGGACCTGGAATAGATGTACCTGCACCAGACATGGGGACAGGTGAACGAGAAATGTCATGGATCGCTGACACTTATGCCAACACTATTGGTGAGTTTTCTAACTCTAGATCTTCTTAAAGCTGTCTATCCATCAATAAAGCAGTGTTAATTATATCTCCCCTAGGTCACTTGGATATCAATGCTCATGCATGTGTGACGGGGAAACCTATCAATCAAGGAGGAATCCATGGTAGAATATCTGCAACAGGACGAGGTGTCTTCCACGGATTGGAGAACTTCATCATGGAAGCCTCCTACATGGGCCAAATTGGGACCACACCTGGCTGGGGTGGCAAGACCTTTATTGTTCAGGTATGATGCATACAAATCTAGAATGTAACATTATTGAGACTAGGCAAAGATTTTATAGTTAGAGGTAAATTTCAGATTTTATTTTGTGAAGGTTTCATTCTTGGGACTTAAATTATGTTGAATAATTCATTCCTTTAGGGATTTGGAAATGTAGGCCTTCACACTATGAGGTACCTACATAGGGCAGGTGCCACATGCATTGGTGTCATTGAGTATAACGGTGCTATCTACAATCCTCAGGGCATTGATCCCAAGGTAGGTACCCTTTTCAGGTTCTTAAAAATAGATGGCTGCTTGGCACATAAGTGAAAAATGTCATCCTTCCATTAAAACCATTTCCTGTTGCAGGAGTTAGAAAACTATCGGATCGAAAACGGTACAATTGTGGGATTCCCAGGAGCCAAGCCATATGAACCAGCTGATGAGCTCATGTATGAAGAATGTGACATCTTTGTCCCAGCTGCCATAGAACAAGTCATCACCAAGAATAATGCTCATCGTCTCAAGTGCAAAGTGAGTTCTGCTCCTTCCTCTCATTGTGCTGGTTCATAGTTCAAAGTAAACACCAATGCTCTCATCCAGATAGTGGCTGAGGCAGCCAATGGTCCAACCACTCCAGCTGCGGACAAGGTTCTTCTAAGTCGCAACATTTTGGTCATCCCTGACCTGTACATTAATGCTGGAGGTGTCACTGTCTCATACTTTGAATGGTTGAAGAACCTGAACCACGTGTCATATGGGCGATTAACATTCAAGTATGAGCGGGAATCCAACTACCAACTGCTTGGTATATAAATCAGTAATTTTCTCTTTGTTCTTCCTTCTCTTTTGGTGCTCATGATTGCATGCTTGGTGGCAGAGTCTGTACAAGAGTCACTTGAGAGGAGATTTGGGCGTGTGGGAGGTAGGATTCCAATTACTCCATCTGAGAGCTTCCAGAAGAGAATTTCTGGTGCCTCAGAGAAGGACATAGTTCATTCTGGCCTGGACTACACCATGGAGAGGTCTGCTCGGGTGAGAACCTTATTCTCATTTTTTTGGCTGGAGAAATTCCTCTTGACTCTTGACCCCCTTAATTTTATTTTTTCTTCCCTTTGTATCACACCATGTAGGCCATCATGCGGACAGCCATGAAGTACAACCTTGGTTTGGATCTCCGCACAGCATCCTTTGTCAATTCCATTGAGAAGATCTTCAACACATACAAGGAAGCTGGGCTCACCTTTTCATAATATTTGCTGGTCTCTTTTGAGTCTAGGTTGCCTCGTAGAATCGTACTGTTTCTCCCCTTGTCTCACATCCTTTCATTTTCTCAAATGTCTCATTTTCATTTCTTTTTCTATGGAAAGATCTCATGAGTATCTGTGTGTTATCTCCAGCATCCTTTTACTGGAACCTGTCCCAAAAAAAGGAAAGGCTGGTGTTCTCATGAATGCAGATTTTTAATGCTTTCCTCCAGAAATAATCCATGAATCATGATAATGTGGCCCTTTTTAGTTTCTACCCCAACCCCTCATGTCTTTCTCCACTTATCTACTTCTTATTGGTAGAAAGTCTTTCATTGCTTATTTTTTCACTTGCTGGTTATGTACAGTACCATCCATGGAGAGTTACCTGTCATCTGGTTGAATGTTAGGCCTGAAAAGTGGATATGCTATGCTCAGTGGGCAAGTATTTCTCTTGTTGAATCTAACCCGATGAAATGGTCAAGTGCAATAAAGTGAGATTATTCCAGTATTGTGCCATATTTCCAGGATCTTGATCCTTCCCCTTAAGGGTACTTTTTTTTTTATAATACTCCATGAGAGAAGCAATTTCTAGTTGCTTTTTTGGCATGTCTATGCCAGTTTATCTTGAGCCATTGGTGTATTGATGATTTTATTCCAACAGTCTGCAGCTACTCAATGTGGCTAAGTATTTCTTTATATTTACAGGGAAATAGGGAGTTTCTTTCCCTGTATGCTTCTAAATCCTAATGCATGAGTTGGTGTATGAAATTACTTAGCAGTGTAGCAGCTTTTTTCAGTGTTGAGCTGTGATAAGTCAGAATGGTTCTGCTGGAGAATGAGGCATTCCTCAGTGAACTAACTCGGCTGTTCCAAAGGACACGCAACAAGGGGAGTGTGACCATCACGATGAAGCGATATGATGGCCGTACTAAGCCGATTCCAAAGAAGAAGAAGGAGGGAAAGGGAGGGAAAAAGGGAAAGACACCTATGACACTGTCCCCTGAGTCCCCTGCTGAATACATGTGCCTCTTCCGAGCTAAGCATAATTCCCAGAAGATCAGTACAGTGGTGCATGCCAAGGATGTGAACAAATTCCAGCTTGCATATTGCAATGTGCTTAAAGGAAACATGGATGCATTGAAGAAGCTGAAGAAGAGTAAAGCAACTGCAAAAGCCACATAGTGTAAAGTACCATGACTTGTTTCATATTCACCCCTGCATCCTCCTGGGTGATGGCCATTTTTGTGTGTATCTGTACTTGGATGCGTGTGAAAAATGGGGGAGGGTTCAGAGACATTTTGATTCTGGATTCTTCCTGTTGACCTGCCTTGTTGTTGGAGACAGAATAAATTTTCTATTGTTGAAGTCCAAAAATATTCTGTCTTTCCTTTGCTATGCAAAATTCAATTTTCTCATCTATCCCCCTCATGTGCCTTTGCTTGATGCACTTTGCCTGATTGGCATAATGTATGGGAATCCATAGCTCCAAATGCAATTAGTTGTGTCTCATTTGTCTAACAGACATTATGAATCTTCTGATTCAGTTTTGGATGTATTTTCTGGCTAGGGTTTTGAAAACGTAGGAAAAGAAGATGAGGTGGATGGGGAGACTTTTAGACACAATGTCTGTGCATCCTAATCTCGGATGGAGAGAGAGTGTGAGGCATGCAGCACGCAAGGGAACTCGAGAGAAACGAAGACGTCTTCATAAAAAGAAGGAAGTTGTGAAGCGTCAGTGGGTCCCCCCTAGTCAGCTCAAAGCCATGAAGTGAGTTTCATGACCAAGACTATTTCTAGATCTCTTTGGGTTGCATGATAAATTTCCTTTTCATAAATGATGCAGAGAGGCACAGGCCTATCGACCAAGCCTCCGATTGAAAGAAGCTGAGCGGTGGCCTCCATTGGATGATGTTTATATGAAATCTCACCATCGTCTCCCCACTGTGTCTCTGGAAGAAGCTTTAGCTGCATTCCAGGAAATCTTCCACCCCACCATGTTCAATGAGCCCAACAACTATGTTCATGCTTTCCTTGAGCTTGATCTCACCCTCCCAAAAAAGGTCTGGAACTTATTCTACTTTATTTTCCATTCTCTGTACCTGAAGCCAGATAAGTTTAGTTGATTGTGGGTTGACAGTCAGCTGGTAGCATGCAACGTTACCTGGAAGGATGGTCAGAGATCATATCATTTCCCAACCCTTTCAATCTGGAACATGGAAGACGAGTCTTAGCTTTCTCCTCATCTGTTGAAGTTCAGACTGAGGCCATGAATGCTGGAGCAGCTCTTGCTGGTGGTGCTGCCCTCATCAAAGATGTTCAGGTACTGGTACCCTTTTTATTTATTGTGCAAGGTGGCTCAGCAATAGCAATGTTATTTATTTTCTGCCCTAATAATTGAATATTAATTTATTGCAGAAATGTTATTGACACATTAAGTGCTTCTGCAATTTTTTTGTATGCAACAATGGAGGGAAAAGATCAGGCTAAAAAAATATAAATAATCATACATGTGACCAGTTGCCATGTAAACATATGGTTGATTTGTTTTTAATCATGCCTTTGCTTCTAATTGCAAACTTTATTCCACAGCTCCTTGAGGAAGTTCTTGAGAGCTATTGCTGAACAGGTATTTTGGAATTTTAGGGCAGAATTTCTCTGACCAATGGTTGAGTGATGTAACATAGTCAAACTGATTGGGTGGCTCAGAAGCCCACCTACCCCCCCTGAAGAAATTATCTTCTTTTCCAAGTCACATTTCTGGGAAATTCTAATAGTTTCCTTTTAAATTTGCTGTGGAAAGAATTTCCAAATGGTGACAAATACCCATTCCTTGAAATTGCAGTTGGACAGAAAATTTTCATAATGATAAAACTATGCAACATCAGAGGAACTTTAGACACTTCAAGTCATATGTTTCTTATACTATTCTATCACTGCATTATGAAATCTCTTGAAGATTCCTCTGAGTGACAAATTCTGTACTTTTTTTGCCATTCAAATTATATATAAAAACCTCAGGTTCTTTGATCATTTGAATCTATCAGGATCAGCAAAAACCAACTAAAAAATTATGCAATTCCCCTGGCTGTATCACCCTTGATTTTTCAGTGGCTATCAGGGAAATGAAACTTCTGGGTTCCCAGAACCTGATTTAATCTGTTTGTAGAAATATGAAGCATGTACATAAAAAAGATTTTAACCTTTTGATTGCTACTGACGCCATATGGCGTTTCCGCATTTCGTATGCAAATATTCATATGCAAACGCAGGTCAGGTATTTAAGACTTAAATGGACATCATATATGTATGTATCACTCATTATGGCTCCACATTTAAGTAAATATCAAGAACAACTGAAATTTGCATTTTTGGGGGGAAAACCCAGCACAGGGGTATTACAGGCCCATAAAAACCCAGCAGTCAAAAGGTTAAACTTGTTATGCTCACTTCATATCTCTCTCCATATATAGGGCGATTGTAAAGTAACTCCCTATTTTTAAACAGTGATATATTCTGTTCAATGTAGATTTTCAAAAATTAATTTTTATTCCATTCAAAAGATGATTTCAATTTCAACAAAACCATCTGCATTTTTAATATATTTTCTAAAGTGCAACACCACATTCTCAACAGAGCACAAAAGACACTCCTGTGGGATATTGTTGAATACTTCATGTATGTGGGTCATCCCATTTTGTTCTACATCAAGTTGAAACACCGTATGCAGCATTATTCCAAGTGAACTTTCTCAATATACTTCCCACGCAGCTGCACATGCTTCTGCTACCATTCTATCAGCTTCTTGAGTCTTTCAGCAAACCAATTTGCTGGGGTCACTTGAACCCACTGGTTCACAGTGGGAGCATGCTCCAAGCATGTGCCAAGGTCAGGTTGCTCTTGGTGAATCATCCTCTGGAATCCATTCTGCTTCATAGCGATGCATCCACTTAATTATGGCACTTTTCCCAAAAGGTCTGTCCCTTTAAACTTCCAGCTCATGACCTGAGACTTTTTCTGTTTCCACAGAAACTAAATCCCACCTTGCTGGATCCGATCATCTTCTTACATAGTGGTAAAATGTAGGTCTACTTAAAAAAATACAATGTCTTTGTAGCAGGAAGGAGCAGTTTTATGATCATTCCTACGTTAGCACCAAGAGACATCAATAGGAACACTCTGATAAGACTGTTGCTGCCAGATCACATGCATAGAAAATATTCACATTTGTTCTCAAACTTTTGGGATGACCCATGTATCTTTAATGGTAGTTGTTTCAAATTCTGCAGGTTTGTTGCACATATTTCCTCTTTGGCCCATCCCCATGAGAAAAAGACACAAGGAGTTAGATCTGGGCTTCTGGCAGGTTGCTCTGTTATTCCTGGCCAGCATTTTCCTTAGTTTGGGATATTGACAATTTCCCACTTTACATTGTAATATTTAGCTGAACTGGTTGTAAGCATCTTGTAGTTTTTTTGTTTTTTTTGTTGCCCAAGGGTCATGAGGTACATGCTTTCTGTTTTCCTTCTGCCACCATCTCTGAACTACCACCACACACCTCCAATCCTCATATCTCACAGCAATTTTAGCTCAAGTCACTGACAGTCAACCTCTGTGCCATGTTTGGTCAACTATGGAATCAATTCTATTTGCATTTGAACAGAAGTTATCATCTTTTGAAAATTAGGGAATTACTTTACAATATACCAGTATATACAGGGTGATAATAAAAAAATGCATTGTATGAACCAAAACACTTCAGTTAGGGACTTGAAGCTTGATACTGTGCTTACTATTGTTGTTGAGATTTTGTGTGCAACATTACACCTCACTGTGACACCCAGCATGCATTCACAACACAACCTGACATGATGGGATGGTTCAGTCCCAGTTTTAACTGGTGTGTTGGGGGTGATAGTGTCAACTGTTGTGATGATTTTCAAATTGGCCAGACTGATAGGTCTAGAAACATATACCCTGTCCTTAGCATATCGCCACAAGCAAAAGTCTGCTGGTGTTATATCCAAAGAGTTAGGTGACCATGGTATTGGTCCCCCACAGCCACACCAGTTGTTGCTGCATCATGCAAGATCACATTTATGGGCCTTTCTTCTTTGCTGAACAAACGGTTCATTTGGTAACCATATTTGGACATGCTGCAACAGTATCTACAGCTTCAGCTGGATGAGGATGGCATGGATAACACCATTTTTCAGCAGGATGGTGCTTCTCCACACTGGTCTATTGATGTCTGTAATCACCTCAGTGACTTCAGCAACAACTGGTGTGGCTGTGGCAGATCAATACCATGGTCACCTAATTCTCTGGATATAACACCAGCAGGCTTTTGCTTTTGGGGATATGTAAAAGACAGTATACATTTCTAGACCTACTGGTTTGGCCAATTTGAAAGAGAAAGTCACTGCAACCATTGCTGCTATCACCGCCCCCCTGACATGCTAGTTAAAACTTGGATTTAACTCCTGTCCCATCTGGTTGTGTCATGAATGAGCAGGTGGTCATGTTGAGGTGTGAAACACACAAAAACTTGAAGACAAAAGTAAGCATTGTACCAAGTTTCAAGTCTCTAACTTTGGTGTTTTGGTTTGTACAATAAATTATTTTCAGATGTACCATTTTGAATCACCCCATATATTTCAAAGTGAAATCTATTCATTCTGCAGTGAATAATAAAGAAAACTTTGGCAGTTACCTCATACCCCCTCTATATTTTTAAGTACAGGGTGAGTCATTAGTAACCTGTAGAGCTTGAAACCTTATGACTGCAGTTGTAATCCTGGTGGCACTGTGATGCATCTGTTGAGTGACCTCAGATACCAACCTTGTCATCTGACTAATTCAGGCATAATTTGAGGACGTTGATAAAAGGAACCTAAGGAAAAGATATTATGAGACTTTTTTGAGCATGGTTACCAATATTGTCACAATGATCCATTGCTTCATCTCATCCAATGAAGAAAATTTCACATCTTCAATAAATTTTCAAATGTTATTGATTTATAGTGTAGCAATTTCTCTACAACAGGAGTGAAAAACTCAAAAGGTTGTGAGGGCCATTCATGACTTTTACTCACCTACTTCAGGCTGCAGCCTGAACGACCATATCTGAGCCCAACAGGGCAAGATCCATAATAACACTTACAATGCCACTAGTCATGGCAGGCCACAGGCAAGGGCCTCTCAGACTGCCCCTGCTCTACAAGATGACAAATATCTTGCTCATACTTTTTGTATATCCACAGTTATGAGGCATCAAACTGTGGGTTACTCATGAATCACCATGTGAATTGGATATGGCTTTGCAAGAATTTGAATGAATCAGTTCATTGTCCCATCCAGACAGGACTATTGTCCCTTCAAGACTTCGATTACTTTGTGGCCTCACCTGACATTGTGACAGAGATTGTGAGCCTTCGAGGACTGATGAAGAAACGCTTTCCTACTCTCCGCAATGGTATCCTTTAGTTTGATGGAGTATGGTAACATGGAAATATGCATATGAATTAACTGAAATGAGTTTTCTTCATTCTAGGATCCTTATCCAGTAATGTGCCAGAAGCAGTGAAGAAGTTTGTCCATGGAGTGGAATATTCAGTAGTTCCTAATGCAAAGGAGCCTGATTATGCTGCTGTAGATATCCAAATAGGCATGGTATGCCTCTTTCTGCTTTCCTCCCATTCCATTTTCAGGGCTCTATATGAAAGCCATAGCCAAAATGTTAAACCAGGAAATTAGACCAAAGCAACTGTTGTAAATAATTTCAGAATTGAGAAACTTACCTACTAATATACTATCACATTCTGTCAAATTGCTATTATTTAGTAAGCACATTCTTTTTAGTTTTTTTTTTTAAAGCAAATATAAATGTAACTCTTGATTGCAAATGTGCAAAGACTTCAGCTAAAATAATTTTTAAAAATCCATTGGCCTACCATGATGTTGAGGCTTTCAATGCTTGGAGCCCATACATTATGGTACTGGAAAATAGTTGTCCTGGCCACAAGTAGCAGTAATGTTTCATTCATTTATAGCTCTCTATGGCAGTGGAGGCTCTGGAAGAGAACCTGAAGGTGTTAGCATTGAATGTGATGGAGCATAAACCCCCTCAGATGAAAGTGCTCTTCATTCAAAACATCCTCCTCAAATCCCCTCCCTGCAGAGAATTCCTCAAACTTGACAGGGAATTGTACACGAAAGAACCTCTACCAGTGAAAGACATTGAAACTGAACCCCAAGCTAAGGTAGAAGAAAGGACAGAATCATTGCCTGGTTCAGATGATGAGGATTCAAAAGAGAAGAGGTCTGTGGAGCAATGATGTCATCCTCTGTGTTGTTGGATTTCATGGTAGAGTGTGTTGTAGTGTATGGATACCAAAATAAAGGGTCAAGTTCCTCAAGATCTGATTTGTCATTTTATTAGATCTGTACCAGAGATGCAACGATATTGTCATTTTGACTGATATCCTATAACCAATATTCTTACATTGGAAAAAAAAGTGACTGTGACAGTCTACATTTTTCACTTTTTCTACTCCTCTCCAGCCACTGGAAACTGTTACATGCATACTCCCATATTGCTTGCCAAATAAATCTCTCCTGCTACTCGTGAAGGCCTATGGCCTGCAAGGAAGGTTCCATGCACTCCCAATCATTTTAGGAAGTGGTTCCTGATCTATATATCTATAAATCCCCAGGTCAGGGGGGCGGGGGTGGACATGACAAACTTGGTCCAGCTCTGAGACAAGAACCCTTTAAACATTCATTGGTAGCAGTATGTGGAAGCACTAAGACCCAAAAATGCTGAAACTTCCTTTAGTTAATGGTCCTTTAAGAATGGATGGACTTCTATGGGGGAAAAAAAGCTCTTTAGCTGGAAGGCCCCTTTATCTCTCTTAATGGGGTTTGTATTTGGTCCTTGGTGTTTAGCATGTATCAGGTGTCCTAATATCAATTATGAACAGGTCATATATGGTATTGGCTGTCATATCAGGTCAATATATTGGCCAATATTGATAATCACTAAAATATTTCTGCATCTCTAATTTGTACTAGTTCTGCTGAAACATGAGATCTTCTCAGATCAATGTCCTCCTCTCACAGGGACAGTCACTTCTTTCTTTTTTATGACTTAATGATTTCTTCATTATTTTATACTGAGGAAGATATAATCTTGTAATCACTCCCTTGCAGGCAACAGAAATTCAAATTCATATGTGAAGGAGCCTGCTGCTTTTTCTGCAGCAGGTGTTGCCAGTTGTATTCCCTCCTGCTCATATATTCATTGGGATCTGAGCAATTCATGCATTTTATGAGTTGTATTCATGTCATGTCATTTTCCTGGGCTAGAAACTGGACTTCCTTGCTTTAAGCGAGGGTTGGGGAAATGATCTGAGATTAACCCTTTTGTGCCAAAGGCATGTTTAGGTTCTGGTAAATAAATTGCACCCTTCCACAAAATCAAGCATTATGCATCAAATTTTAATACATTTGCAACTTGTTTGGCATGAAAGGAAAGACCAGATTCTATAGAATATAATGCCATAAAATTTTTTTGTTCCAGATTTAATCAGAGGGAAATGCTTTATATCAAGATAAACCTTCAAGTATCCCACATTCATCTCGAAGATTTATGACTTGAAAATGTCAGAAAAGCCCAAACATAATCACCCTTTGATGTTCAAGCATCATATGCTTGGACATCAAAGGGTTAAACAAAGTGCCAGAAACCCAGAAGCAGAAGTGAAGTACAGCTGACAACTTTACAGGGTGGGCCAAAAATATTTACACCAAATTTAAGTATTGTATTTCCTGTACTAATAACTTCATATGGAATCAGCTGAATCTCAACGGCACACAAGGGCTCCTAGGAACTATTCCCCAAATATGTTCAATTTATCCCCATTCTTCTTGATGGCAACCTGAAATCTTTGAGTCAGTCAGTTTATTGCACCAGACAGACATGATTTCACTCTACTTTCAGTGCGAATCTTGACTGGTTCAGGTAGCTGGATTTAGTTTATGGGCACTTGCTTCCAGCAGACTTTCCATGCAATAATTTTGTTATGGTCAGAATAGTATGGGGGTCATTCGTATTCTTTCATCATTTCAGCCAGGCAATTTTTTTAATCTCAAGCCATTTATAGGCGAAGAATGATTCATGTTAAACAGGCAAGGAGACAAAGAGATACTCATATAGGTACAAAACATTTTTTCATTTGTTGTTTTTAGGCCTACAGAAATAGAGAAGTTACAAGTGGTATGGCCCACCCTGTACTTTTGTTTGTACATTTGTACATTTATTTTTGTAAAGAAGAAATGATGATTCTCAGTTTCTCATTTGCTGACAACCCCTTCTGTTAGTTTTCACAGCAAAATGTATTGATTTGCCTACTTTCTGGAACTGATCTATGTAAGTAATGCTACTTTGTCTCACTGTCTGTCATCCCTTCAGAGGCTTGCACAGGCTGTTTTTTTGGAATCCATCCATGATTCAAATCTCCATACACTCAATCTAAAACCTCACGATTGGCTGAGCTTTGCAACTCAACCTATAGGTTGAGTGAAGCAAATTGTACCAACCTGCAACCTGATGAGACCTCTAAGCTATAATACTGAGAATCTGACATACTTGTTTTCTCATCTTACATCTGTGTATTCCAAATTCAGTGTATCATTTGAATGCTATGTGGTGGAACTAAAGCAATTGGGGGTTCCCTTCATAAAGGAATGCATTCTCTATTATTCATCTGTGTTTCACAGGTAACACCTAATACTAATTAATAAATTAAATGCCACACTTATTTCTGGTCCAATGAATACCAGAGCTGACAAAACTGCAACATCCTATATGACAGTTATGCTAATTACAATTTTATTATGACAGAATATGAAGAAGTTTAGTTTTTGGAGGGAAAATAAATTAAAAGAAATCAAGAACATGAATCTGTTCATGGATCTGTTCAAGAATGACTTTTCCCCCCATGATAAGAATGGTTTCTCACCTAGAAAGAACATCTCAAAAACATAGCATCTATTGAACAATAACTGAACACTTTGGTTGCCCATTTAAGGTGATGTTTTGGATCCAGATGATGTAGCGTGATGCATGTTCACTGTTCATTTTCTAATAGATACGTAATGTACATAAAACGGATAGGAAAAAATAGAGGAGAAACGTATACCGCAGACCAGAATGGACTCTTGGCTCCAAATCTTGTCTGAAAAGGATGTTTGGCGAGACGAGCCATTTCGAAGATGCCTGAGAGAGACAGAACGTTGCCTGATTCCCTGGGAGAGGTGAGATTGAGGATGGTTCTATTTGGGGGAGTATTAGACTAAAAGTGAATGCGCACAGATTAAACATTTATACCATCGGTTACGGTGGAATCTAGACTACAAATCTTTTCAGAAGCTGGTTTTTCGTCAAGTGTCATTGTCGAGATGTAGGGGTGGGGGGGGGAGGGGCGCTTGTTTCAGTTGTGTTACAAAAGGGCCTATACAAAGGAATACTTCCTGGGAGCAACGTTTTGAGTCAATGAAGAATCTCCTCCTCCCCCCCCCCCTCCCCTTCAAAAAATTGTAGGGGAAGGTGGGGCAAAATGGGGCAACGTAGCTTTTAACCAAGCCATACCCGATATCTATCGGCTATTTACTCTATTATAACCGCCCACGACCGATGCAAGTTTTCAGGCATGGCGACGCTCTCTAAAGTAGTTTTTAAACACACAAGGGGCAAAATAAGAAAACATCGACTTTTCTTATTTTGTTTCGAGTTTTTCATGAACGAAACAAAGTAACATGGGAATATTGGAGGCATCTGATATTTTTTCTGCTGAAGGTGTAAATGTGAACTGTTACAAGAAATGTAACATGAATTCATAGTTTTTTGCATAGCTTTCTATAACCTTTGGTTTGACAGTGTCTGACGGTGCTGATGGGGCAAAACGGGGTGACCGTGAGGGAGCAAAATGGGACGGTAAAGCGGCTTTATTATTATTATATTGTCCTCTGGCTGGAACGTCCAATACAATGGTGAGGCGCAGGCTGACGCGATGAGTTACTGTTCAGATTCTTCCTCTCGCTTAAAACCCAGTGACGGTTGGGTTACCGGAATTCGGCTCATGACAGCTGTGCAGGCATCGGTGACGACACGGATGAGGACGTGTTTTTCTGCGACTACTGTAAATTTGCATCTCTGATGAATATATGGATAACAATTTGAAACAGCAACAATGGTTTTGCCATAAAAGTTTCATTGCTGTTTCCGTACTAGTGACCTTAGTAAATAGGCACTTAATGAAAATATGGGAAAACATGAGAAAAAACACGGTTTATTTGTAGATTTTTTTTGCTGTTCCTGTTCTTTGACCTTTATGAGTAAGAATGAAGACCTGGAGAAAAAAGAGAAAGCATCTGTTGGTAATATATGGATGTTTTGTTGCGGTCTCTGTTCTGTGAACTCTGTAAATAGGCATGAAATGAAGACACGAGAAAACATGTGGAAAATCATTAGTTTGAAATTTGTATATATTTCATTTATATTTCTGTTCTGTGACCTATCTAAGAAGGCATATATTATGAATAAATATTGTAAAACAATATTTGGAAGCGTACCCCGTTTTGCCCCATGGGTGGGCCAAAACGAGGTATTTGACACCAACTTTTAGAATTGTCGGGGGAAAAAACCGTCGATGATTTCGCGATGAAGTTGAATCCTAGTCGTAGGTAAGACATGAAAGGTACCGCATACCAATCCGCAACGTGCTAAGCCAATTCCTTGGTACTAAATTTTGGCAATTTTCTTGAACCGCCCCGTTTTGCCACACCTTCCCCCTCATTTAAATTTTTTTACATAGAAGACCGTGCCAAAATTTGGTACACTTGTGTTAAAGGAATGTGTTAAGGGAAACTCCTACATTTGGAGTCCAGTACCCGAGAGGGGTCCTTGTTTTTGAGGGGAGGGGGGGGGGGCAGGATTTCAGAAATTTTTTCGCTTGAGCGAAACGATTCTTTAAGTCGTGCTATGAAAGGTTTTATACGAAGAAAAAATTCCATAGGGATTTTTGAAGAGAGTTAAGAAACGCATTTCCATCCCCACACCACTGTAAAAAAAAAAAAAAAAAGTCGTCTTGGTTGCAGTTTCTTAAGAATTGGGCATTGTCCTCAGTTTCCCCTATAACGTAGAACCAGTGTTGGTTTTATATTTTTTGGTGGTTGAAGGCACTTAAAGCATGCGAATTTTCGCCCACCCTTTTTGGGCAGATGAATATTTATTGAATGTTGCTAACCTGAAGTTGACAGTGATGTTGCATAACCGGAATTAAGATGACGCCACAATTTTAAAAATGTCTAAAATCCAAGTTTTTTTTATCACTTAAGAATGCGCGAAGGCCGAAGACG